AGCAGGATTCGGTGCTGTGTATTGTGGCAGTGGGGCTGCAAGCTGAACAGTGCAAACGTCTTGTTTCCTGTTACACAGAGAAAGCAGTTACTGCATATTCTCTCTCTATATACAAAAACTACATTAGAGTAGCATGTTTGAAGTTGCAAAAATCAAACTCTCAAAAGTTAGGAATTGCTTGATTTAAGGTTGCCTGTATAACCTCAGATGCCTTCAGTGCACATGTATTATCACATACACTTTGATTATGCGTAGTCGTAGGCTACTTTGCCCTCCACAGGATATCCTTCTTACGCAAGTGCCTAGTTAATTTGCAGAATACAATCCTGTTTGAAGGTGTTATCGGAATAGTCTTGGGGTTAGCTCAAGGGAGGCCAGCTAGTTTTAAAATATGGAAGGTTTGGGGGGTTTATCTTCAATGTATCATTAGAGTCTTCTCTCCTCTGTTAGGCCTATTGCCAAGATCCCAGACTGGGATTTCTATTGACCCTTATTTGGAGGGGTGGGGTATCTTACTTCTGACCACAGATGCCTCTCACAAGTATGGAGTAGGTATTGTAATTAAATAGCTGTTAACAAAAACAAATTACATTTTATAGTAGAAAATTTAAAATTACTTTGTCTCTCACCAGAGCTGATGGGTTTATTTTCTTTCTTTTTTTATAATCCCATCTGTTCCTCCTGTATCCACAGTTTCTCTGCAATAGAAAAGACAAGTAACTTTCATGGATAAACACAAAGAGAAATTAAATTAATATAGGTCTTTTTTATAGTATTGCGTCACCTGCGAAGGGAAGCATGGCACAACAGTGTATTATGTCTCTACCCTGTGGTTTCTCTCTGGAGGCCACATTTTAAGAAATTGCGTCTGATAGCTGTGACTAAACTCAGGCATGGCAATCACAAGGTCCCTACTGTTCTGTAGCTCGTGTGGTGGGGCTCTCAGAGCCTGCTGGGGCTGTTCCAATGTTCACTATCTTCCTTTGTGGGCCTTGCAGCTAGTCTGTGGATCTTCTCTCTGGTGTCCTGGCTTCTTTGACAGAGCCTGTGGTCATTCCACATCCTATTTTTATGCATGTGCACAACCTGGCATGCAGATTTGTCAATGACTGTTCATTTACTGAAGGAGATTTGCTTCTCTCTGGGAATACCCATCTCCAGAGTCCACATGGGTCATGTGGACACTTGAGATGGGTGTCACCAGATTCCTGTTCATGCCACCCTTCTCCTCAGATATGCTTCCACATTTACTCAGGCTTGTTCTTTGACCCTTTCTGGTTGCAGTGTGCAGGTGAACCGAGTGCTGACCTACCATGACCTGGACAAAGATCTTATGAAGTATGCTGCCTTTCAAACTCTGGTAAGTGAATGTTGCTATGGGGTGACTGATGTGACTCCCTGTCCTTCGAGGCTCCCATCATCCTCCACAGTGATACTCAGCTGGGTAGACTACACAGCCCTATCATCCAAACAACTTCCAGTCTGCTTTCTAGTCTGTTCCTCTCTGCAGTGTGGCTTTCAGGCTTGTTTGTGTCTGTAAGTAGTGTGGGTATGGTATCTGCTGCTCAGATGAGGCTCCTGCTGTTGTGCTGGACAAAGTACATGTCCCTTGTGAGGCAAATGTTGTGCCTATCTCTAGCAAGACCTACCTGGTGAAATGATGATGTCCACTTTCTCACCATCTGTAAGACTGTGATTATGTGTGTTCATAGGATGGAGAGGTTGACCTGAAGCTTCTCACCAAAGTTTTGGCTCCAGAGCATGAACTACGAGAGGTGAGTCTGTCTTTTATGTGAACACCAACAAGGCAAAAGCTTCTTATGTGTCTCAGACTGTACTTGGAAAGTAAGCTTTTGTCAGTGGGGTGGAGGAGAGAGATGAGGAGGAGCCTGTGAAGAGGAGCATGTCCAAGAGGATGGAGGTCTGACTTCCCCAACAGATTATTTTAAAGATATATAGGGCTTTCTCAATCCCTGTGGTTGGCTCCTTCAGTATGAAAGAGCTAGTAAGGAAAGTGTGAAGGACCTGGCGCTGTCACAGATCCCTGCAGAAACAGTGCTCTGTGTATTGTCTTTTGGTAGCCACCATGAGCTCCAGGTAGTTCTGCAGGGCGGTACAGAGGGACAAAGGCAGAAACATTTGGGGTTTGGACAGAGGGATGTGTTAGAGCAGGACAGAACAACCTCAATACAACTAGGGGGGCAGGAGCTCAGGACTTGCAACAAAGGATTTCTGCAGCTCAGAGTTGCAGATGCACAGCAGAAATGCAGAAGGGTTGAAGATTTTTATGGCTCCTCTTTACGCCCTGGTGGGGGGTATCTAAGATGAACAAGTATTAAAAAAATCTGTCCTTTACATAATTTTGGAACATGAATAATTCTGTCAAATTCTCCAAATTGTAGCAGGGATTCACATTTCATTCTTAGGATTCCTGTTCTAGCCAACTGGGACTTCCCTGGCAGGGGCAGTTGCCATTTAGTTTCTCTCTTTGCTGTTTATCTTGAATTTTAGCATTGTTCAGAGAACTTCGGGTGTCACCAGTAACATTTCAGCATGTTTGTCTTTTTCCTCTTGGTAGGATGATGTCAGCTGGGATTGGGACCATCTCTTCACAGAGGTGTCCTCAGAACTAGTGACTGAGTGGGACCTGGGACAGTCTGAGAGAGAGGAGCACCTCAGTGTGCCCTAGAGCACTGGCACACCAGACATCTTGTACATGCATCCCTTGTAAATAGTTTAGCACTTTAATTTTCTATTCACTTGTTTGTATTTGAGAATTTATTTCAGACATGAAAATAAATAGGACCTTGCTTCATAGGAAAACTGGCTTGGGCAAAGTTTTAAGTACTTTGTAATAAAAATCTTTGTTCTCAAAAGAGATATAGAATTCTCAACACAATAAAATATTTACTTATGAACAGTCACTTCCACCTCACTAGCACCTTTACAGATAACTGCAGCAGTCGGTCTTTCCTCTAGGAAATGCAGCCTCTCTGGGGTGGACCATCTTACAATGGGGTGTGGTTTTCACTGATGGCTATCAGAGAAGCTTAGGCCAATAAGATTTGTTTGCTTAGGACATCAAGATTACCATCTTCCTCACAACAGATGTCACAAGTTTTCAGGATACCTCTTTTACATTTCATCCAGCAGCCTCCAGCCATCCCCTGCTACTTTAATCTCTCTTCTGGAATATTACCTCTGTAGTGACTCGGAGGAAGCAGCCTCACCTATTAAACTGCCAACACCACTTCTTACAGCACCTCTGTTTTCCCTTGAGGTGTCCTAGCTAAGTTCTGACCAGGCCTAACCCTGCTTAGCTTTTGCAGTCAGATGCGATCACAGCCTCGACAGAGCTAGCTTCAGGCAATAGGTAGTTTGCAAAGAAAATACTGTTTATTCCATGCATGTGAAAGAATGGAGCCTGCTGCCCTGAAACAAGGTAACTCCCTGGTGAGCGTCTCCTTGGAACCAAGTAACCCATTCCTATTGTCATCTAAAGAAAAATCCATTTAGCTGTTAATGCCCTGTCCCCATAGAACCGTGGTCATTATTTGCAGGAAACAGTAACATTACTTCTAAGCCAACGTCCTTCAAAGCCTTGTCCCACTGGACAATCTTGCTATGTACTTCTGGGGGGCAGTGCAGGTGCTGAGATGCTTTTTGTAGCTTGTTTGGTCAGTCTGACAGAGGACTGCATCCCCACTCTTGTACTGACAGTAGGACAGGTCGAATAACTCACTGTGAATTCAGTACTCTGCAGAATTTCAGATCGGAGGTGACAGGCCAAACAATTCTACCAGCAGGAGAGAAGCAATCAGGTTCCCGTCTGAGACCACCAAAATTAGGGGAGGTTCACCTGTCTCAAGGAGACACTAAGCTTTTTACAACCGAGACATCTCCCCTATAACTAGAAAATGAGGTGACAGAAGCTTGGGAGGCCAGTGTATGGGGGATAATCCCAAAGTCTTTCTCTGGGCAGAGAAACCTGTTTTGGTATGAATAGAAACTTCCCAGCTGAGCTGGTGTCTCTTTTTCTGTGACACCTATTGTTATTGGCCAAAGAAAATTTAGAATGCTTCCTCCATTCCAGGCAAAAATAAAATTAAATTCAGCAAACTAAAGTAGTTTAGTAAACCAGATAAACCCAACAAGCCAATCTGAGAGGAGGAGAATGGTAAAGGGAAGAGGGGACGGGATGTGGATTTGCTCAGTTCATCCCTCAAAAACCACACAGAAAGCAGAGGCAGTCTCCTCTCAATTGCAAACTGCAGGACCATCTAGTGTGGGTTCTCTCCCTTCTGCTGGATCGGAGGTTCTAATCCACACGGCTTCCATAAGCTGCTTGCCTAGTATCACCAGTGATATCTGCTTCCAGGGAGACTCTAGCCTCTTTGAACTGTCCTCCTACTACGATGCTGCGCTTGCCTGCGGTTTGTTGAGGAGGAGGGAAGGAAAACAACATGAACAGAGAGAGAAAGGAAGGCTGAGAGGTGAGTCCACCTTCCTCCCTCCAGTCAGCGTCCCAAAGCATAGGAGGCCTCATGCTTTTGGGTCATCTCATAAAACCACGCAGTCACCCATTGCAAATCAACCAGTTTTCAATGATTGCAAAAGCTGATGATACCCAGGCCTGAGGCACAAGAGTGGGTGAACTATGAATCCAGCATCTCTGGCTACCCAGCCTGAGCTATGGTGTGTGATATGTGGCATATTATGTGTTGCGTTTTCTTTAGGGGATCGGGGAGGCGACATTGCTGGTCACATGGAGCGTTAAGAGTGGATAACTAAGCAGTAGTTAGGACTGTAGCTACCGAGTCCTCCATGCAGGAGTCATGCCAAGCGTACTGCTCCTCTAGCAGCTGTGTGCTGCACCAACAACCCTGAGCTGCCTCTAAGAGGGCTTGCAGAGCCATCTTCTGCCTCCAAGAGCTCCTCTGATCATCCTGGGTGGGCAGAGCACTCCCGTCTATCTGCTGTCCCAGCAGGGAGGAAGGAGAAGAGGAGCTGGGCTATGTGGTGGTGCTCAGCCCCTCAGAGGCCACAGGATCCCTTCAGGAGTCAAGAGGAAAAGGAAAGCTTCCCATGAAACAAAAGCAGGAGGGACATTGGACCCTCGAGATCCTCCGGAGATGGTGAGAGGTAGGAATGGAGGAGGGCGTGGTGTGGGCCATTTGAGGTAGGGTGTGGAGAGAAGGGGGCCAGAAGCAAGAGCGGGGTTTGTGGGAGAGGCGGGGAAGGGCAGGAGGAGCAAGGAGGTTGAATGATTTGGAAACAGAGCATGCACAAAATTTGGAGGGGATTGAGGCCAGAGCAGGTGCTGGTGGAGAGCCAGGAGAAAACAGAGCACAAGAAGAGCATAGTGGGAGTTGAATAAGGCCTTTGCTGATGAGCTGTGGTCATGTTATGCTGGAGGAGCTGCTCTAAAGCTGCATAAAATCTCCCAGAGTGTGCTTGGGCCTGTTGGCCACCCCGCTCTGGCTTGTGGCCCTGGGCAGGGATGCTCTGGGGTGGGAGGCTCTGTGTGTGGGCCAGGCTGGTGCCTGCTCTGGGACCTTGGGAGCCCAGCAAATACCCAGGCAGAGTTTGAGAGCAGAGCTTGAAAAAAATGACATCCTCATCTATTTTAAGGCGGGAAGAGGTGGCTTTGATCATTGAGTCTGACCTGCTATAATACAGGCCATGGCAGAGTCCATTGAGATGTGGCAGAGCTTTGCCTGTGTTTTAGGAAGTCAGACAGTATATATGAAAGTCTTCCCTTGTTAGTTTTTCTAATAGATAATTGCCCTTATGGTTCAGAATCTGTTTTATTTCTAGGCTCAGTTTTTGAGTTTTATCTTCTGTTTCCTGAGCCTGCTTATGCTTTCACCTTCCCAGTTAAGCCATGCTGACAGGTATTTTCTCCTTACTTCAGTATTTACATGCATTGTGACCAAGTTGTCTCTTTAATTTCCTTCAATAAGCTTAATAGACTGAGACTTGTTTCCATGTCTTTTCAATTCCGTCCTCAGCTGGAGGAGGGGAGGTGAGTGTCTGGCTCCTGGCCTTCCTCCAGCAAGCTGTTCCCACCCACCTTCCTTCCTCTGTCATGTTTCGGTTGCAGTGCTGGGAAGGGGACTGAGACCTGTGCTTCTCCTCTCTCAGGTTCTGGTGCTGTCAGAGGAGAACCTGCTCCTGTTACTCTCCTTGCTAAAAAGAAACAATGAGGTGCTTTAGCATGCCCAGGCCAGCTCTCGGCTCGTGGTGCCACACCAGTGTGTATTGGCTGTGACAAAGCTGCCTGAGGAACCTGCATGTCCGAAAAGTCCCGTGGAAAGAGCGTGCAAAGCAAGAAATAGCAGGTGCAAATTTTTTCTTGTAGCCTGCAAAGGTGTAGCTCTGGGTGATCCTGAGGTGAGGTGAGAAGTGAGAGCAGTTCTCAGAACGCGGCACCCGGCTCCTGGGTACTCAGATCAGCCCTCTGGGCTGTGCCTAGCGGAGGAATAGAGCAATAATCCCTTGTTGATCTCCACAGACTTGTGTCACAGAGGGGTAAAGCAAGGTGCAGGGCTGTGCCCGGGGCCACACAGCAAATCTGTGGCAGAATCAGGTTTAGAAACAAGGAACCTCAGGTGCCTGATTGAAACATGCTGAGTGTTTCCCATCTTCAATTTGAAGATGGCAATTCAGCATAGACAGTCTTGTGTCCTGCTTGTTCTTTGTTCAGCTCTTTTCAAACATTGCTGAGGGAGAGCTGCAAACCTGCTGAAGTATGTGTCGTCAGTGAGCTAATTTGGGGGGTCTATCCAGGGAATTCCTGAAATTCTGGATGAGTATATTGACCCACAGATAGCCTCTTGCAGGCTCCGGGCTCAATAGGCTACTCCAGGCAAATGGTGACCCTCATCACAGACAAAGTAAAAGAAGTGCACAAAGGAAAAATGAATTCTACATCCTATCAGTTCCAGGAATCTCTGGTTTTGCTTATAACAGATACAATATTTATAGGCTTTCTTGGTGGAGATGTTTTACTAGCTGTTGGTGGGGGGATATTGGAGCAGAGACAGCATACACAGTGCTGGAAAAAAATGTAGAAAATAAAAGCTGAAAAAAAAAGCCAGGCCCAGCAACTTTCCAATAAAGAGCCTGCCTGCCAGCCAGGAGCCTCTTAAAGGGACTGTGGCTGGCTGTTTTATTAAGTGTGACAAAGTGATGGGAGGTGGGGGGGAGCTCCTATGTTAATAAGTTGGAAAGGCACCGCTGTTCCTTTTGCCGGAGCATCTCAGGGAAAGTGGAATTAATTCATGGCATATGCTCCCAGCATCTGCCGCGGTGACCCGGAGTGGCGGGAGCGCAGTGCCAGGCAGCGTGAGCCAGAGCCCGTATTCTCACTCCTCTCCAGGGCCTTGCTCGCCCCCTCCCCGTGGCTGAGTGTGGGGGCTGTGTGGCCACTCCGGCTGAGCACCCACCCAGCCGCCCACTTGCCTGCCTGCAGGCCTGGGTGGGATGTCACAGCCCGCGGCCGGAGTCTTTCCCTCTAAAGGAGACACGCTTTAGACTTGGGAGGGAGAAGGGGACGTTTGGATAGAAAAGAGACCAATTTGAAACTGATACAGTTTGTCCCAAGCAGCCTTGATTCCTCCCACAACATCCCTGACCAAGTCCTCCCTTCAGCTGACTTGTTCTGTGGCTTGCTGTGAGGCTCTGACTCCTCAGTCTCCCTCTGCCTTCTTTCCCACTGCATCTCTACAGATGATTTGATCCTCTCTTCTACAGAGATGACACAGGTTATATTTGCTGATAGGTGGGATTTCATTCTCTCTTTAATGGCTCCTGGG